AAGCCACCATATTTGATTTTATATCTCTTGTGTGGGGCCGCAACGACTATATTTTTCATTATCATTTTTACATTAATGTGTACCAAACGGGGTTTAAATCTAAAGTTTATTTATACAAAAATCAGATATTAATTCAAATATGTAATATTAATAATAACACCAAATTTCATTTCAATCCCAAATTACTTTACCCTATTATTTCTTTCTCTATATCTCCATATCCATCTCTCTCTCGCTCTCACACACAACACATCTTCCAATCGTTGGCATCCCACTTTCCAGTCCATGTTGTCATTGTCGAGTAGGTAGCGAAATCGAAATGGTGTCGTCGTCTCAGTTCTCTCTCTCCTTCCTCTCACGGTGGCGCCTGATTGATACGAAGTCACGATAGCATTGGGGTTCTTCCGAGCGCCGCTAAAAACTCAGATGGCCCTAGTTGATCCTAGTTGCTCTGATTAGACCCAACATCAAAAACAGTGGGTTCAGAAAGTTGGGTGCTGTGGTGGTGGTTTTGTGGTTGTTGACTGTAGTAATCATTTTGCATGGTCGGGTGAGACAGTGGTGGTAGTAGTGGCAATGGGTGTCGAGGCGGCTCGGCCCATCTACCTATGAGCTTGGCTCGTCACTTTCATTCAAGCACGAACCGAGCATTAGCTCGGCTTGGCCCACGAGCTCAAGATTTATTTTTTTCAAATTTTATTTACTCTTTTATACCCATTTTTTTACAAGCTCGTCGCTTGTGAGTGAGTCAACAGGTTCGGCTTGCCTAGCGAGCAAGCCTGCTCGACTCATGCTCGAGCTTGTCCAAATACAAGCCCGAGCTGCTCGACTCGATTGCCAACCCTAGTTGGTGGTAATGGTGGTCGCGGTAGTAGGATAAGATGGGGGTGAGTGTTTGTAATCAATTATTTAGTTGATTGTAATTAATAAATTGATTAATTTGTAACCAATAAATAATATATTACCTGAAAAAATATAATTGTGACTCCCGATTTATTAAGTTGTAATCGAGAGATAACTTGTGACCAATTAGTTTGATAATTTGTGACCTATAAATTTTTTTAATTTGTGATCGAGAAATAATTTGTGATTTATAGAATTTTTTGATTTGTGACAAGAAATAATTTGTAACCAAATTGTATAGAATTCGGTCTTTAATATATTTAATATATATATATATAATTAATTAATTAATTAATTATTTTATAAATAAAATTTGATTAATATCTTTTTTTTTAAACCTTGTTTCTTAAATAGGTTATACTCAAACTCTTGAATATAATTTTATTTTTTTAAATGTGAATGCGATATGGGCTACCAAAAAAGATAATGGACTTCTAAAAAATTGTAGCCAACTTTACATATGGATAACAATTTTTTTTATGCTGGAAAACAAAAAAGTGAAAATTACTTCAATCAGTTTTTTTAAGATCTAACTTCAAACATTAAATCTAAAGTTTATTTATACAAGAGTCAGATATTAATTCAAATATGTAATACTAATAATGCCACCAAATTTCATTTCAAACTCAAATTACTTTCCCCTCTTATTTCTCTCTCTATATTCTCCATACCATATCTCTCATACATCACAACTTCTAGTCGCTCGCATCCCAGTTCCCAATCCCTGTCGTCATCGTTGAGTAAGTAGTGAAGTCGTGATGTCATCATCTCAGCTCTCTCTCTATCTTTCCTTTCTCTTGCGATTGCGCCTGATTGATGCGAAGTCACGATAGCATTGAGGTTTTTTCGAGCACTGCTGAAAACTCATGATGGTCCTGGTTAATGCGATGTTGCGAACAACCCTAGTTGCTATGATTGGATGTGACACCAAAGATGGTAGGGTGCTGTGGTGGTGGTTTTGCAGTTGTTGTGGTGGTGTGGTTACTGTAGTGATCATTTTGCATGGTCTGGTGAGGTAGTGGTGATGTTGGTGGTCGTGGTAGTGGGATGAGATTGGGGTGAGTGTTTGTGATCAATTATTTAGTTGATAGTAACTACTAAATTAATTAATTTATCATCAATAAATAATATTTGACATGAAAAATATGATTGTGATTTGCAATTTATTAAGTTTTAATGGAGAAATAACTTGTGACCTATTAGTTTGATAATTTGTGCCCTATAAATTTTTGATTTATGATCGAAAAATAATTTGTAATCTATAGAATTTTTTATAGAAATAATTTGGGACCAGTTAATTCAACAATTTGTGACCAGATTGTATAGAATTACGTCTTTAATATATTTGATTAATTATTTTATAAATAAAATTTGATTAATATCTAATTTTTTAAAAGCTTTAAACCTTGTTTCTTAATTTTAAAACGGGTTATAGTCAATCTCTTAAATATGAAATTTTTTCCCAAAAAAAAAAAAAAAGAACATGTGAATTCGATATGGGCTACCAAAAAAGGTAATGGGCTTCTAAAAAATTGCAGCCAATTCATATAATATTCGGAGGGAAAATTAGTCTCACTACACTAAAAAAATTAAATTTTGATTAATATTATTAAAACTAATTAAAACTGTTAATACCGTATTAATTATGTTTACAACTTAAAAACTCGAAAAAAATGCCTAAATCGAAAAAGGGAAAACCTCTGAAGAAGACCCTCAAGAAATGCAAGAGAGGGTTATAGTGAATTCTAGGTTTAAACAGGAAAAAAAAGGCTTTGCTTTGAGAGGAAATCCTTGAGATGTGAAACAAATTGTGTAGTGATGGATGTGTTATCGCTACCATTCGGCTCTTATTGCTTATGCAATTTCACAGATGACATGTTCTCAAAACAATGGGTCTGATTTTCCAATAGCTAATTGCTGCTTCTTACTCGAATCCGACAATCTCAATTTTTGGAATAGAAGTTGCCCTTCCATCATTAATGCTCTGCAAGAGAATAAATGAAAGAAAAGAAGGTCGGAAGATGCATAAGGAGATATTAAATAAGAATTGGAATTACAAGTGCAACAATACTCTCACTGCGTACCCATCTTTTAAAGGATCTAGTTTGTATAGCTCTCTTCACCTTTTTCAAATTTGGTTTGGCACGATCTAAAGCCTAAGGCAGAATATATTCTTGTTTTCATACCTCTTAATTTGAATTTTGGACTTAAAAACATAATTATAAAAAAAGAAGAGTCATTCTTTTTGTGAAGAAGAGTCCTGACAACTTGACTCGTGGATGTTGCTTTATCTTGTAGCCATGAAACTAATGGTTATATGTATGAATTAAATCATTTCTTTGAAGAAGAGTCCTGGATTCTATTTTTGCCAGGAGACATTCAGAGGGAATCTTGTGACTTGCGCATTTGCCTTGAAATTCGGAAGAGCATCTTGAACTATTAGTGGAGTGATGTCTACAAGAAAGGAGATCAACGTTGACGAATGGAAGATGCTCAATGGTAGCCTTGGCTCTAAATTAGAAGGTGATATGGCAAGTTTGGTTATGCTCGATCATTTATTCCGAGGACCTTTTTTTAAATAAACTTGCGATTCCACACATGGAGTGCTCGAGCATATACTCTCCGGGGTATAATGCTCGAGCACCTCCAGTCTTGCTACTTCAACGTGTTATGATACATGTCCTCGAGCATGAGTAGTCCTCGAGTATATGTTCTCTTCATAGCCTATGATTGTTGACCCTTTAGAATTCTTATGTAATTGGGACTCTAACTCAACCATATACTTGACTCCCGCAATGATTCTATCCCAGACATAATTATGGCACTGGTACAATTCCTTCACCTAATAGGACTCTGTTGGATAGAGATACCCAACTAGTTGAGTCCCAATAGGAGAATGTCGCTTACTACTATAAATACAGGACCTTGGGTCATTGATCAGGTACGTTTCCATTATTTTCAGTTTATAGCCTTACGCACATAATTCCCTTTCTGACTTAAGCATCGGAGGGGTGATGAGAACATACCTCGTTGTCTTTGTTTCAGGTACCGAAAGACTACGATCGTACTCATTCAAAATCCTCAAGTTCAGGAAATCACCAGGTGCGAATTTTTGGTAACATCATTGGAACCGTCTGTGGGAAACACTATCAAAAGCCATGGTTAATACGCGATCATGTCTTCCTCCCGCAAGTTCATCTGCTCCCATCCCTCATCCTGCTGAAGATCAATCAACTCCTCAAGAAGAGTCGTCACGAGTGCCCGCACCTCTGTCGACGGTCGTCACAACGGAAGCCTTTGAAGAGCTCCATCAGCAGGTGGCCATACTCACACAACTGTTAAGTCAAAGAAATTTCCATTCGTCACCAGCGGAGGCAGAGCATGGTGGTTTTATGAATGATGCTCGAGCCCGACCACCAAACCCCGCAACTGGTGGAGTATGAACCTCGGGTATTCGCAACATGGCCTCGAGGTCGAGATCTGTCGCCATGGATTCCGGTGAGATTGCCTGAATCATTCAAGAAGGAATTATAGCTGGCCTGAAACGAAATGCTCGGAGGCCAACGGGTTTTAGCCCTAACACTCCATTCACGCTGGAGATACTATCATATCCCCTGCCCGACAAATTCAAATATCCTCGCATTAAAGAGTATGATGGGACGATCGACCCAATCAACCATCTCAATATATATACTGATGTCATGAATTTGCAAGTTACACCGAATCAGGTTATGTGCAAAGCTTTCCCGCAAATACTGACTAATGCTGCTAGGGATTGGTTCTCGACATTGGAGCTCAACTCCATAGCCTTATTATCAGATTTGGACGGTAAGTTCTTAGCTTTCTTTGCAAATAGCAAGCAAATCAAAAAGACTGCAGCCTCTCTCATGCAATTTCGCCAGGGACCAAATGAAACCCTATGAGGATTTATGACGAGGTTTAACAAAGAAAGACTTCAAATACCCGACCTTTATATCACAGCGACTGTCTCCGCCCTCGCTTACGCCATAAGATGTGAAGCTTTCAAAATGTCCTTATCAAAGACCTCGTCGTAGACAGTGACCGAGCTCCTCACCAGAGCTGAAAAATACATTAATATGGAGGAAACACTAAATTCAAGGAGACCTGGTCCTTCCCATGAAAAGGTCGAGAACAAGAAGCAACATGATCCCGTTTCCCGGCCTGAGTATCCTCGGGAAAAGCGCAAGAATGAAGGCCCACCAGGGCCCCTTACTCGATTAAACACATCCAAGGCAAATATCTTAATGGAGATCAAAGATATGAAAGAATTAAAGTGGCCTTCGAGAATGAAGTCGCCCCCAGACACAAGAGATAGGAGCAAGTATTGTGAATTTCACCGGGATCATGGGCATACCACGGAAGATTGTCAAGCCTTGCAGCGGGAGATTGAAGCCATCATTAAAAGAGGACTCTTAAGAATTACATTGGTCATGATAAATGCTCGAGGAATGACCGTGACAACCGAAAAGAGCCTGAAGTCGGAAACAGTGCTCAACCCACTATCGGGACCATTAATATTATTATTGGAGGCATATCATCTAGAGGAGACACATGCTCATACCTCAAAGGAATTCCGTGATAAACTTGAAGACATTACCTTTGGAGTAAGAGATTTGGAAGGAGTATCATATCCTCATGACGATGCCTTGGTTGTCTGTGCAATTGTGGCTAACTTTGAAGTAAAGAGGATTCTGGTTGATAATGGCAGTACAGCAAACATACTATCACAGGAGGCTTTCGCTAAAATGAGGCTCTCTCCCAAATAGCTCAAAATTGTGAAAACTCCTCTACAGGGATTTGGTGGTGGAGTTATTATCCCTGAGGGCATCGTCGAGCTACCGTTTACATTAGGTTCTGGTAATATACAAGTGACAGAGTTCACTCCATTCCAAGTGGATAATACCCCTATGGCTTACAACATCATTCTCGGAAGGCCCCTACTAAATAAGATCCAGGCCATTGTATCAACTTTCCACCTGGCCATGAAGTTCCCAACAAGCCATGGCATCGGAGTACTCGGAGGGGACTAAACAGCTGCCAGGCAGTGCTATGTTACTAGCATTCGAGGAATGAGTACAGACGCATGCAACTTTCAGACCTTGAGCTCGAGCTCGAGCCAAGGGGTAGACTTGCCCCGATTGAGAAATTGGAAGTGGACGAGCTCGAGCACGAAAAAATGGTAACTATTGGTCGGGATCTCAAGGCCAGTCTCCAAGAGGAAGTCATCAATTGTCTGTCCCGCAACATCGATATTTTTGCATGGAAGGTTGAGGATATGCCAGGGATAGACCCTGAAGTAGCTATCCATAGACTCAATAAAAGCCCGGGGGCCAAACCTGTTAAGCAAAGGAAGAGGCAGTTTGTGCCGAAAAGGCGTGTGGTCATTCCAGAAAAAGGTCGGCAAACTGATGAGAGTGGGGTTCATAAGGGAAGTCTAATACCCTGATTGGCTCGCTAATGTTGTTATTGTAAAGAAGGCTAGTGGTAAATGGAGGGTCTGCATCAACTTCACAGATCTTTATAAGGCGTGCTCGAAAGATAGCTACCTGCTACCCAGGATTGACAATCTTGTGGATAGCACCTCCGGACATAAATTGTAAAGCTTCTTAGATGCATTCTCAGGTTATCATCAAATCCTCATGGTCGAAGAAGACCAAGAGAAGACCTCATTCATGGCTGATTCAGCCATATATTGCTATAGGGTGATGCCATTTGGGTTGAAAAATGCTGGGGCCACATATCAAAGGCTCATCAACAAAGTCTTTGCCAATCTGATAAGGAAGAATATTGAGGCCTATGTTGACGACATGGTTGTAAAGAGTAAGGAGGTAGAGCAGCACATATCCGACTTGGAGGAGGTGTTCGCCACCCTACGAAAATATCGGATGAAGCTCAACCCAGAAAAATGTGTAATCGGTGTAGCTTCGAGAAAATTTTTAGGCTTCATGATCACTTATCGGGGGATAGAAGCTAACCCCGATAAGATCCAGGCCTTGGCAACAATGAAATCGCCTAGAACCAAGAAAGAAGTGCAAAAATTGATAGAGAGGGTAGCAGCCCTAAACAGGTTTGTGTCCCGAGTAGCAGACAGGTGATTCCTTTTCTTCAAAGCTCTTAGAGGTAGTCAATCCTTTGAATGGAATGAGGAGTGTGAAAAGGCTTTTCAGGAGCTCAAACAGACATTGGCGTCTCTCCCTATCCTTACTAAACCTAAGCCCGAGGATACTTTGTTATTATACTTAGCCGTATCTCAAAATGCAGTAAGTGGCGTCTTGGTAAAAGAGGTCAATAGAGCCCAACAACCCATTTACTACGTGAGTAAAGTCCTACTTGATGTAGAGACCAAGTACGCTTTGTCCGAGCAACTTGCTCTTGCCCTAATAGTGGCAGCATGAAAGCTTCGACAATATTTTCAGTCTCACCCCATTGTGGTGCTCACCAATCAGCCTCTGAAACACATCCTTCAAAAGCCAAACGTCTCAGGTAGATCACTAAAGTAGGCAATTGAACTTGGGGAGTTTGACATAGAGTTCAAGCCCCGGCCGTCCATCAAAGCCCAAGCTTTAGCGGACTTTATTGCACAACTCACCCCAAAGCCTCGGGGGCTAAAAGAGAGCTCGAGCGCCACAATAGATGTTTAGCAAATTTTCATGGATGGAGCATCAAACTCCTTGGGCTCGGGCGCAGGGGTCATCATAACGAGGCCGGACATGCTCATGGATGTTCAGTGTTCACTCAGATTCGAATTCGAGGCAACCAACAATGAGGCAGAGTATGAGACTATCATCATAGCCATAGAACTTGCCATTAATCTCGAACTTCAAAACATCAAAATCTTTAGTGATTCCTAGCTGGTGGTGGGGCAGATTGACGGAACGTTTGAGAAGAAAGATGAGAAAATGAGCTTATACTGCTTAAAAGTTCATGATCTCCAATGAAAATTAAAGAGGTGTGAAATTGTGAAGATTGCTCACAATTGCAAGGCAGATGCCTTATTAAGGCTAGTATTCATAGGAGTAGATGGACTTGACAGAACAGTACATGTCAGATTTGTGATTGAGCCTAACATCAATTCAACTGTTGGGGTCATGGATATTGATCACGAGCCATCATGGATGGACCAATTGTGGACTTCATAACAAATGGCAACCTTCCAGAAGACCCTCGAGCATCAAGGAGCATCCGGTCAAAAGCTCCAAGATATTGCATTATTGATGGGGTCTTGTTTCGCAGAAGCCTCACACTTCCGTACCTTAGGTGCCTTAAGCCTCCGGAATCCTCCTAAGCCCTAGAGGAAATTCATGAAGGGGTATGCGGGAACCATCAAGGAGCTCGGGCATTAGCCTTCAAACTCATAAGGTACGGTTATTACTGGCCTACCATGAAGAAGGATGCCGTGGAATATGTGATACGTGCCAGAGGTTTGGCAACGTTATCCATTTTCCCGCAAAGGACCATACCAATATCTGCTGCTCGGCCCCGTTCGAGCAATGGGGGATCGATATCGTCGACCCGTTTCCAATGACTAGAGAACAATTGAAGTTTATAGATGTAGCAGTGAAGTACTTTACAAAGTGGGTTGAGGCCGAGCCCTTGGCAACAATCTCAGAGCCTAAGATAAGAGCTTTTGTTTAGAAGTCCATCATATGCAGGTTCGGGATACCAAAGATCCTCATAACTGATAATGGCTGGCAATTCGACAACATACAATTTAAGGATTTCTATTCCAACCTAGGGGTTGACTACCGCCTGACGTCAGTTTCTCATCCCCAAAGTAATGGCCTAGCCGAGGTCACTAATCAGATCATATTGCAAGACCTACGAACAAGGATAGAATTGCAAATTATTTCAATAGAAGGGTGAGGCCACGAAGATTCAAAGCTGGAGATTTGGTGTTGAGAAAAGTTGAAGCCACTGGCCATGCTCCGGGAAAACTCGGACCAGTTTGGGAAGGACCCTTTGAAGTCATACGACAGCTCCTAGGAGGTACATACAGCTTGAGGGACATTTCGGGAAGACCACTCCCAAGGCCGTGGAACGCCAGTAACTTAAAAATATATTACAAGTAACCCGCTTCACCATATTTTAGAAAAAAGGCCTACGTGCCAAGTCAATTTATTTTCTTTCAATAAGGCCTTCGTGCTAAGTTTATTTTTCGTCCTTCACGCCAAGTTTATTTTTCGGCCTACGTGCCAAGTTAATTTCTTTTCAATAAGGCCTGAGTGTCAAGATAATTAATAGAATATATTACAATTAAAGTTAAATTCGATGATCTACAAACAAAACCTTGCCCTGCGCAAGCAATTAAAGCCTTGCCCCGCGCAAGCAAATTAAAGTCTTGCCCCGCGCAAGCAAATCAAAGCCTTGCCCTGCGCAGGCAACTAAAGCCTTGCCCCGAGCAAGCAACTCAAACCTTGCCCCGAGCAAGCACATATAAGATACCAATCAGGTCAGACAAATCCCAAGTAAAATTCCCGAGCACACAGAATCCCGAACACAGTGGTTATGAAATGTGGAAAAAGCCCGAATTGTCCACGGGGATGTAGCTCGGGAATCACACATCATAGGTCGAGACTGCCCTTGATCTCAAGAGCAAGAGAACAAAGGTTAGTCATCAAAGGTGATAAGCTCGAGCTTATTTATTTTGAGCGACCGATCCATGCTCAATCCGCTTTACAAAATCTTCGGTATAAAGACCCAAGGTTAAGATCAAGCTTTAATTACAATTGTCATCTTACAAATTAGTCCTCGAGATAATTTTCATGTTAAGGCATGACGTTAAGATCGAACTTTAATTACAGTTGTTATCTTACGAATTAGTCCTTGAGATAATTTCCATATTAAGACTCATCATTAAGATCGAGCTTTAATCACAATTGTCATCTTACAAATTAGTCCTCGAGATAATTCCATGTTAAGGAATGACCCTGGGATCGAGATATTGACTTGATCTGAAACATAACGTGGATTATGTCATCAAGATTTTTTGAGCAGTTTACAATCCACATTTAGTCGTCGGGTTACATGTTAAAAGCTCGTTATCATTGTCATGATCGAGTTCATTACTTGGAAAAATTCCTAAACTAAACCATCGAGATACGACTTTAATGAAATATCGACGTTTGTTATCGAGCATAATGGAAAACAGACAACAAGGTAAAATTGACCATTCATTAATCGAGCATTCATTAAATCGAGCATTCATTTCAAAAAAAAAATCTTTTCAAAAAAGCCCAAGGACAAGGCCAGGCAATGTACATGGGGAAATATAAACGGGGCAGGGGCCTAGGATGTTCTATTCTTTGTCATCCCCAGAAGCAGTGTCACCATCCTCGAGCGCATCCTCATCTTCGACCGCATCAACGACTGTGTTGTCAGAATCAGATAGCTCGAGGGTCTCAGCTATGTCAGGGATCATTTTCAGCTCCTCAGGGGCAACCTTGGGCATCTTCATCCTGAGGAAGGTCCCGGGCTTCTTTAAGGGCAAGAAGGTACGAGCCTAACGCATATTCGCCCTTCAACCTATCCATCTCCTCGGACTTTTTAAAGTTCTCGATTGCTGAAGCCCAAGCCTCCTCAACCTTAGCCCCAAAATCTTTCTTGATTGTTCAAGCTTGAGCTTTAGGTCTTCAGCCTCGTCCTTTGCAGCCCCCACTTCATCCCGAGCTTTCTTTAGCTCGTTCCTCGCATCCTTGGGCTTCCTCTAGAGCTGAGATCGAGTAGCATCGGCATCAACGAGCTTCTTATCTCGAAGCTCCACAGCCTCAACCAGCCCTGTCATCTTGTGGGACTCGTCTATCCCTTGCAGAGAAAGTCCTCGGGCAACGCTGAGTGTCTGACAACCAAAATCAAAAGAGGATAAGAACGGGAAAGATACTTGGCACAACATCATAAAAGGCAACACACTTACTTTTAAGGTAAGGAGCTCGAAGGCCTTCATGCCCTCGTCAAACCCGACGTCGCGTCTATATTTCGTGATGATGCTCGGGACCAGATGGCATCGCTCAAAATCCTCGATGATCGAGGCAACAAGAGGAATAGAGTTATCTTCAAGATCAACAACCTTGGGAGTGACTCAAGGAGGAAGTGACTGCGATGGCCTCGGTGTTTGTCTAGGAGAACCCCCTTGTCATCGAGGTGGAAGAGGGCTCGAATCTCGAGGCCTTGATGATTCTTTTGGACCCTGAGAAAGAGCATCAATTGTGTATACTCGGGGCCTCTTTTTCACCTTCTTCAGACTTGGAGCCCTGACCTGTGGCTCCTTTGACTTCGAGCTCACTGCTCGACGAAGAGCTGATGGATCAGAAGACATTTCTGCACAAAAGAAGTATTAGGCAAGAGCTTACAATCGAGCATAATTCATAAATCAACAAAAGAGTAAATATCCTACCCTTGTGGCCTTTCGTACACGCAAGGTCGATGATGTCATCCCTGAGAATATCATCTATATCATATACCAAGGGCTCGAGATCCTCTAGCATCTGCCGATCCCTCTCTAGAGTTTCAAGTAGGCCTGTCCCTCACAAAATTTTGCTGCGTCCGGGATATCCCATCGAGATCTCAAGCTATAACATAAAACCATTTATCCTTCCACCTCTTCAGTGAACTAGGCATCTTCGGGATCCTAAATGAACCTCGAGAGGAAAGATAAGCAAAACAGGTGAACCTAGGGAGCTGTTTAAGCTCGAACACCATCCTACAAAGGTCGAGATAGGGGGTGATTCCTAGGTATCTACAGGCAATTAAGAAATAGATGAGCATTCTCCACCCATTGGGCACTAATTGCCCCGGGCACATAGAATGCTCGACCAAAAAGCCTACAAAGAAGGGATGCATTGGCCACATGAACTCAACCTTCAAAGAGTCCTTAAAAATCACAAACTCACCTTCTCGTGCCCTATTCATTCTATCATCGGGATCGGGAGACCTACAGTCATTGTAGGGCATGAGCCCATATTTTCTCGTTGCCTGCATAGCTAGGTGTTCTTTAAACCTACACTGGGTGTCGGGAAACTTAAGCTCGACAACATCTGGCTCCCTAGGTCGAGCATCTAAAAGAACAGCAACAGGTATTAACTGAACTCTATGTTCCCCAGAATCGTTCGACCTCTCGATCCCCGATCACTCTCAGTGCTCGGCATATCTCTTCAATTTAAAACTAAAGAAATAACTTAAAAGTCCAGAGCCTTACCTCAAGGAACCCGACGCCCAAACAACAAAAGCTAAGTTTATAGCTCGACCCCAACCTTGCCTTGAAGATTCACAGAGAGTAAAAAATGAAAAATGGGGGGGTATTTATAAGACCTTGGGAGGAGATCAAGGGTCAAATCAATCTTAACCTTTGACCCACGCCATGTGTCTCCCATCCAGGAACCCCTCACTTTTTACTGGAACAGCTCATGCTCTTGTTATTTCCACACCGACAATTCCTCGAGAAAATTAAAACATCGACGACATAACTTATCAGCAAATCGAGCTCTATGCATCTTACACCCTGGCATAACTTCCTTAACCCAATCCCAGGGTCGAATGCACGGGGGCCAGTGATATGGCAAGTTTGGTTATGCTTGATCATTTATCCCGAGGACCTTTTTTTAAATAAAATTGCGATTCCACACATGGAGTGCTCGAGCATATACTCCCTGGGGTATAATGCTCGAGCACTTCCAGTCTTACTACTTCAACGTGTTATGATACATGTCCTCGAGCATGAGTAGTCCTTGGGTATATGTTCTCCTCATAGCCTACGATTGTTGACCCTTTAGAATTCCTATGTAATTAGGACTCTAACTCAACCATATACTTGACTCTTGCAAGGATTCTATCCCAGACATAATTATGGCATTGGTCTAACTCCTTCACCTAATAGGATTTCGTTGGATAGAGATATCCAACTAGTTGAGTCCCAATAGGAGAATGTCGTTTACTACTATAAATACAGGACCATGGATCATTGATGAGGTACGTTTCCATTATTTTCAGTTTATAGCCTTACGCACATAATTCTCTTTCTGACTTAAGCATCGGAAGGATGACGAGAACATACCTCGTTGCCTTTGTTTCAAGTACCGGAAGACTACGATCATGCTCATTCAAAATCCTCAAGTTCAGGAAATCACCAAGTGCGATTTTTTGGTAGCATCAGAAGGTAATGATCAACTTGAGATTATGAAAATCATTTTCTTAGTTTCAATTATTTGTCATATTTCCTCAAACCATGTGATGCTGTCAAAAACTTACACCTGTATATTTTCAAGTTTGACGACTGAGGATGAGCACAAATGAAATATTCTAACACCTGAAATAGAGGCATCAAGGTGTGTTCTCATTGTCCCTCCGATGCTTAAGTTAGAGAGAAAACTTATGTGTGAGACTATAGACTGAAAATTATGTAAAAACTTACTTGAATAATGAATTGAAGCTCTATATTTATACGGGTAGGTAGTGCACTCCTAGTTGGATTAAGTTAGTTGAATATTCTTATCTCAAAAAGTCCTACTGAAGAGAGGTATTGGACTTTTATGTAACTGCAAGGCCAATCTAATTTCAATGGTAATATTGTTAAGATAGAGTTCTCTTAGGCATAAGAGTCTTGGGTTGAGAAGGTTTGATAGTGTTCGAATCCCAGGGACTTAGTAATCTATTTAGGTTAAGTCGAATGTTCTTGAGTTTAGTCAAAGAAAGGCTCCAGTGCATCGCACCTTCGAGTAGTTCGTATAACCCGAGGATGGTCTCCACAGAAATGTAGTAATCATGTAAAATAGAAGCTTGAGTATACGTCGAACCCAAGGATTATGACAAATCTTGAGCACGGCGATAATGGAATAGTAAAAAGTGCCTTACGAGTCCTCAAGATTAAAGGTCAGGACCTTCGAACATTGACTATATCAACGGCCCCCGTGCATCCATGCTCGAAATTCAAGGATAAGGTGCACAATTGTCAAAATAGTCCTTGGTGTCAAATAATCAAGAAAATGCTCTGAAATGTCATATCCGTGAGGGCTAACTTGGCACTGACGTTAGTCCTAGATGAAAAATGGCAATAAAAGAGTGGTGGTAGCATGGATAGAAAACACGTGGCCTGATCTAAGTGCTCGGGGGCTCCCTTGTTATCTCCTAGACATGCCTATATATACCCATTTCACCTCACTTTTTTACCATCAATAACTCCTTAACAATCCTCGAGATCAGGAATATTATGGGTCTTGGGTCGTTGAGTTTGAGGTAAGAGCACGAGAGCTTAAGTTATTTCTTTAGAAATTTTCTTAGAATAGGATGTCGTGCAGTGTAAGTAAGCAAACGTCTTCAGGGTCTGGAACCACCCCTGAGGACTTAGGAAACTTGATCATACCAATGGCCATTCCTTTAGAACCTCGGCTTCGAGTGTAGGGCTGACCAACCCAATTTAAATACCCTAATCATCCCTTTAAGTTTAAGGAGTAGCTAATGATATCATTGGCTAGGAAGCATTGCAACATTAGGGCACCCGAGCTCAAGGATAGGGTGACTAGAGCTCGAGAGGTTGGACATTAATTTCAAGATCAATGTTGTCACCTCTGTCCTTGTCTATCAACACCCGACGAGTTGCAGAGTATAATATATGTAATGTCGGAGAGTTAAATGTAAATATTTATTCCTCGTTTCGCAAGAAACTTTGTATATATAGTACTGAATGATATTAAAGATAGAAATTAAATTAAAATCTTGTCTGCTAATATCATTAGTGTATAATTGGCAAATGTAAATTTGTCACATTTTTTATATCACCATCATATAACTCTGTAACATTACACCTTTTCAATTTCACCAAATGTAAGTTTTGTCACTTTTTTGTTTTTTAAATTTTTTTCACTTTTCCCTATAGGGTTGGCCTTGGTGAAGCTGGAGTGGTAGTGGAGAAGTGATTGAATTTGCATAAAATGATGTATTTTAAGGTTTTGATTGATGTTTTGTTTTTTTTTTGAGGTTGTCATTTTTTTTTTTGGAATATGCGTCAATTTTAAAGTGTTTTCACTTTTTTGAATGGTGTATCACGTTTTTTCTTCATTTTTTTGTCACTTCTTTAGTGACAAACATCATTTTTTAAAATACATATATATAGTGACACTTAACATTATACATTATTTTTTACTTCAAAAAAACTTTTTATATGATTAATAAGTTGGCTGAATTGGTAAATGATAGTGGCAGTTAATTGACTTAAAGATACTTGGTGTTTTGATTGATATTCTATCGGAATTGACTTAAAGATGTTTCACGATGAATGGAAATGATAGTTATGTCACTTCTTCTTTTTTTTTTTTTTGATAAATTTACATCACTATATTGAACTGATTCTAGTTTTTAATTGGTATTTTAACAAAATGTGACATAATGTCACTCTTTTAATGAAAAGTGACACAACGTCACTGGTTTTATAATAAGTGGTCACCCAGTGGAATGTTTAAAGAGGTTTTTTTTTAGTGTTTGTGATTTTTTTATTTTCTATCCCTTTTTTAAATTTTTTGTCACATTTGTTTTGAATTTATGTTACTTTTTTTAATTTGTTACTTTTTTTTTTAAATATGTCACTTTATTGAATTTTTATCACATTTTTAGTGTTCTTCTGCTAATTTCTTGAAATTTTTATCGTTTTTTAAGTGACAAATATCACTTTAAAGTGATATTATATGTCATTTTTAATAAAAAAAGTGACACTTAATTTAAAAAAGTGATATTGTCTCACTTTTCATATTAGATAATTAATTTCATACAAAATATTTTTGTATGATTTTACAAAAGACGCTATGTCACTTCGTATGAATTTTAAAAATTGCTGTAATTGTGGTATTTCTCATTTTTGTAAGTTGGGAAGAGAACGTGTGATTTCAAGATCCATTCTTTTGAAACTCTGCCACTCCCTTTGCCTTTTCAGAAGAGAATCAAATTCTTCGATCCTTGATTCCTTCTTCGGACACACTCAATTCCAATTCCTCAAATCAAGCGAAAATATTTCTTTCGCTTTCTATATAATGATATTCATCTTGTTTTTGTTAATCTCAATTTAAACTCACTGTTAATGGTTTGTGACTTGTTAATCAGCTGAAAAATAATGATGTTGGTTACTTTGTTGAGAACGGCTTGGATTGCTGGGACTCTACCCATTTTACTCGCCTGTATACCGTCACCCAAACTCTATGCGTTTCACAATTTATTGTTGGGGTTTGCTAAACGCGGCAAGACTATGCATTCTTCTTCACGCGTAAGTACTATCCGTGAATCACATCGATTCTCTCTCTCTCTGTTTTTTTTTTTAATTATTATTATTTTTTTATAGAGATACTAGGTAATTGAAGAAGTTATCATGTTTTATTTGAAGCATTAAGAGAACCGGTTTTTTTTTTTTGGGTTTTTTATTGTACAGTGTATTCTAAGCGAAATTCTAGTTTGGTGATTCGATACATTTTTTTGTGGAATTTTGTGTTTTCTACAGTTAATTGCTCTATACGTGTTACTGTTGGTGAATTTGAGTAATGTTCTACTGAGGGGAAAAATAATTTATGAGCAATAACTTTGCATAGATTGAGTAGACTAAGAGACCGTCTTTTGTAAATTAGCATAAAGTGATTGAATTAGACAAAGCTATTAATATTGTGAATTCCTTACGAGGTGGGATTGTAGCATACATGTTGATTAACTTATTGAGCACATAATTGGACTTGCACTTGTTTATTCTCGGGTAGCATAACGTGAAATTTTATTTTATTTTATTCCTCCATTTTATTCGAGTCTATGTTGCTTGGAAATTGGTAATCTAGTTTATGCCTTTTTCTGCTATATGAATTAACTTCTGCAGTGCATTATTTGTTTATGTTGCAGAAGTTCACAGTTCCTCAGAAATACTTTATTCACTTCTATATACTGGCAGTTATATGGACAAGTATTCTACTAGCTACAACATGGCATTATGCATATAGAATAACTCCAGCAGTTTCTGAGCCATCACTATATTCTAGTATTGCCAACCACTTGACGGGATCTTCACATGTATTTTCCTTGCATAAATCACATTCATCTTCAAGAGACCACAAATATTGTGTCTGGCAGTCTGTATTTATGCTTCTACTGATGGAAGTTCAAGTAGTGCCACGCCTTTTTGAGAGTCTATATGTATTCAAGTATAGTCCTTCAGCTCGGATGCACATTTTGGGCTATCTCACAGGCCTATTGTAAGTTCTGCCTTATTTGGTTCTTAATCTCATAAATTTTGTCATCATCTTGTTACATTCAGTTTTGTACAACCAAGCTAAGAATATTTCAAACTTCATTTGATATGTCTTGATAAGTTATTAAGTTAATTGCTTGAATATTTCCAAGTTTGGTGGGACGAACTGTCATGAGTGTTTTTGGAAAGTGGTTTTTTTCTTTTTTGGTTTGGAAACAAGTAGCACCTATTCATCATTTTGAAATTGTGTGGTGCTTGCCAGTTGGTTGACATCAATTAGAAACTTCAATTTTATACCTCAATCTCTTATTGAGAAAGAAAAGTCTCATTCACTCAGACTTGTTATCTTTCTTATAACAGTTTCTACACAGCAGCTCCACTATCCCTTTGCTGTAAATATGCCCCAGAGATTTTCAAATTTGTGGCTGATTCAGTTGCAGAGTTTGTTATCAAAGGGAAAGAGAGGATGCAAGTCGCTGAATTTGATTGGTGGGGACATTTGTATCCTCTCCTGCACCTTAGGTGGTATATATGGATTGGTGGAGCTATTTTCCTTTGGGGTTGGATTCATCAACGCCGTTGCCACACCATTCTTGTAAGATTTAATTCCGATTTACTATTCAATATTTAGATTCTATCTCTACATTGTGGATTCCAAGTTTATTCATCACCTAAGGGATAAAAGATGCACACTGATTTTGTGTTTTACTTTGCTTTCACTTTTATATGATAAGAAAATAATATCAATACACGATGATATCTAAAAGTAAGTTCTTTTTATGTGAAAGTACAGTGTCTGTTAGCTTTCCTTTCTGTTAATTGCTCCACCGAGAAACACTAACATGGGTTGCTCTGCAATTACTGTCGACGCATGATTGCTTTACTAGTATCCACTATCATGATTTGTGATGCATTATGTTGAGGAATGGAAGTAAATAGCAACTATTAAAATTTTGACAATCGCTTTGGATGTGCATGCCTGTGTTTTTAGTTCAATCGTACTATTTCTTGATAGTGTACTTGTTAGTCGTATCAATTCTATGTGCTGTGCACGACATTTTCTAGATTTCATTGGAACATTTATCCGAGGCTTCAAAATAAATCTTGTCCCAAAATATCCAGGGTTCGCTGAGAGAGAATGAAGAAAAAGATGAAGACTACTCAATTCCTAACGGTGACTGGTTTAAATACATATCCTCTCCACATTATCTGGCTGAAATTGTAAGCTTCTTTTCCCTTTCCGCTACTTCCATAACTTAACGATTTCGTTCATACGTGGTTCTTATTTGTATTTTTTTCTTTATACTGGAGGTTATATACGCCGGAATTGTGATTGCTAGTGGGTGTTCAGATGTTACAATTTGGTTACTATTCGTATTCGTGGTTAGTCTTGACTTCCTTTGAGAAAAGAACACACTGTATCCATCATCGTTAATACTTTTAAAGAGATGACTGATTGCTTCATTCATAATCATTCTGTTGCAGGTAGCAAATCTTGCCTTTGCAGCCAAAGAAACACACAATTGGTATCTGCAGAAATTCGACAATTATCCCAAAGATCGTACTGCAATTTTTCCATTTATTTATTGAGGTCACAATCAAATTGTATATATGTTCTTGTATAGGGTAATATAAAAGGCCCAAAAATTTCTTTTAGTTAATGATGAAAGCACTCAAACTTTTGGAAATAGTTTATTTGACCCATTTAGGTCATCTTCCATTCAATTATCTGTTGATGGCAATTGTCCATTTAATATTATTTGTTCATGTATTAAAATCCAGGAGAAAGAAACGCCTTAAAAGTCACTTAATATGCAAAGACTAAACATGTCATCTTTCAAATCAATGTCAGTATGCAAAGATTTGATCACTTTTAAAGATTTGAGCGTCAATGATACAAACTGATTCCCCATGTTTTATTCTCACTGGATATCATAGTATTTTCCATGGACAGGCAATAGTGAAACTCATGCATACAGATCCATGCCCCAAAACTTGGCAGGTTGATTAGTCCTATATTTACGGTCCATAGTTTTGATAAGGTCCATGTCCTCTTTTGCCAGCTCGAAGTTGAACACATGAAAATTCTCTTCTAATCTCTCAAGCTTTGATGACTTCGGGATAACAACCGTGTTTCGTTGAATACCCCAGCGAAGAACAATCTGAGCCACAGTCTTCTTGTACTTCTCAGCAAGACCCTAATGCAACATAAGCAAAAGTCGAAATCACTTAACATATGGTTTGCAATATTGAGCAAAAAGAGTTACTTTCAAAAACGCATAAATAAGTTTGAGGGTTGGAGAAAGGACATACTTTAAGAACTGGATCGTCCAAACATGATACGGAACCGAACCATTCAGTGTTGGCAACAGCACCTCCAAGAGGTGTGTGGGCAGTGACACAAATACCATGCTTCTGACAGAATTTGACAAGAGAATCGCGTTGGAAATAAGGATGTGTTTCGATCTGATTCACGGCAGGCTTCACTTTTGCATAGGCTAAGCAGTCTCTGGTTAGAAAAACGTCATAGTTGCTGCATATAAAACGATGAGGGTAAATTGTTAAAAAGAAATATCGATTAAGTTCACATACTATTTACCTAGTTTAAAAGAAAATAACAAGATGAAACAGTCAGCCAAAATATATGCATATTAGTTTTGCATGTTATGTCAGCATATGAGTCAGATATTTAGTACCATATCCTTTCTTATGCTGACAAAGTTTTACCAACTGAATGAAAAGAGGTCGATTTACAAAAACATTTCGACGTGAGGGTTCTAGAGGTCATCCTGATATATAACATAAAAGGATCGAGTTGGAGGGGTTTGCAAATCATGATGAGGAAATACAAGGACAAGATATAATTACGACCTACAATGATCCTCCAATATTAAACTGCCATCTGATCTTTTAAGTTTTACCTCATATATTAGACTGCCATAACATACCCTCTAGTCCTATTCTGACTAATGTGTTAAAGTCCTGTCATTTACTCATCAAAACTGCTATCATATCCAAAAACATCAAAAGTACCTTTATCCTTTCCTTCCAACGTGTTTCAAAATTTCCAATTCTTCTTAGAACAAGGAACACAAATAATCACTCTCTTTCTTCATCTAAATACGTATTGAATTTGTCAAATAAATATAATAAATATCAACATAATAAATTCTTCGAGAAGTTAATTAAGTAATGAAATCTTATATATATTGACAATTAAAATTCTTAATAAGGCAGTAGCAACTGGGAAAAATATAAAAAATTCTAGGTGGTGGAAAATGTTATACTGATATCAAGTAAGAATAGATCTCATAAGTCATAACAGTTATTATAGTCACCGGCAGAAAATATAATCAAAATATCATGATGCTCTTAGTTACCGATTTCACAAGCTGAAGGCAGCAAGCCTGAAAAAATCAAACTTTTAAATCATACGTTCGTGTTGTACCCAAAACACAAAGTTTAGCATGAAACTAATCATTGTTTTATCACATGTTCAAAATTTTGGATAGGAAAAAGCAGCAAAAAGGTAAATAAAATCCACTTCTAAAATCGTGCATAACAGCATGGTTTTCTGAAATTGTGTTCAAATTATTGGGTGGGGCATACATTTTTATAGATTTTTGCACCAAATTATTGGTCAGGTCAAACATTTTTATAGATGTTTGCACATTGTTCTAGGACTGCGATGTTTTGAATATTGACACATATTAGACATGCTTGAACTAGCATGACTAAGGCATACATAGATGAAAGGCATTGTTGACATCTCACTTACCAAATAAGCACAAAATGTAACAAACACAAAGCTTTTTAGTCACCTGATCCCAATGCTTCGCACTAAACCCATGGAAACTAAATCTTCCATGGCATGCCATGTGGTCTCCAGTGGTATCGTAGTGTCTATGTCCAAAACATCATCATCACCCAAAGCACTTGCAGTTGCACCAACACCTTCAAGAATTTTAAAATTGGAACAAAAATTTATCTCATTAATAACAAATTCGATAAGGATATCATGTAGTCAATGAAAACTTCCACCTCAATGCCCTCACATTGCCCATTCAAATCGATGACAATGTACAAAGATGATAATACTTTCATAAATTTTATTTCCATTCTCGTGAAGCATAACCCATCTTTTCATACTGGAATTTTTCTAATATTGCACATTATAGAATAATGCAAACTCTTCACGCCTAAAAATATAAAGGGACAGATATAAGGTACAAGGGGATGAATACCTGTATGTCGTGTGGCAATAGGGAAGTGAACAAGGTACAAATCCAGATAATCTAGCTGTAGTTCCTTTAAACTATCTTTACAGGCCTCAACAACATGGCCATGGTCTGAATTCCAAAGCTAAAATAGGACAAGTTTTAATACATTTACGAGGCGATTCTCAATCTCAACCCAAGCAAACTATGAAAAGAATAATTCAAAATTAACCTTGGTTGTAATGAACAGATCTTCCCTCTTTACAAGTCCAGTCTGAAATGCTTCAGCAAGTGCCTCTCCCACTTCTGCTTCATTCTTATAATCCGCTGCAAAACAGTAAACCCAGTAGCGCAATCAAGAAAAAGGTACAATCTTAACGTAAACGGATATTGATAGTGTGGGATTAAAGAGTACCGGCGCAATCAAAATGACGATAACCAATCTTAATAGCGTTGAAGAGAAGATCTTTGATGTCTTTGCCCTCCATTCGCCAAACGCCCAGTCCGATTACAGGCATTTTGAAGCCGCTGTTGAGTGCAATCTCCATTTTTCTTAACCCTAAAAATCACTGCACTTCAATTCTCGCGTATATTTCTGCACTTCAAGCGCTCTGTCAGGGCATCACCAAAATGGATGGAATCTTGAGCGGATATTGTTCCAAAGCTACGGCGTCGTTTAAAAATTATGACCCGGCCCAGAAAAGTCAGAAGGCCCATAGCAGTATAGGCCCATAAAATAATTGATGTCCAGGAACGAAAAATAGAGACCGTCGACTAGATTTGATAATCTAATTAGCAAACGGAGCACGGTGGACCATTAAACAGCAGATTTTAATTCTGCAAAATATATTTAATGGAGTGCGACGAATATTAAACGCATATCCCACGCTATCCAAATTCAAAACTTAACCGTGGTTAAGAAAATGTAATTAATCTAACCACGGTTACTTTCATCAACGGTCTTCGTTATCTTATTAATCGGATTATCCAGATTTACGCGTGTCAATATTAAACGGCCAAGATCATTTCTCAGTGGATAACCATCCTTCACTGGCTGCTATATAAACAACAACTCACCGCTCACCACCTACCAAATAAAATTAGACCTAACTGGTGAGAAAAATTATCAAAATTCATAGAAATGGCAAATCCTAAGGTTTTCTTCGACATGACGATCGGCGGCCAACCGGCTGGGCGTATTGTCATGGAGCTCTACGCCGATGTCGTCCCCAAGACTGCAGAGAACTTCCGTGCTCTTTGCACAGGCGAGAAAGGCTTTGGAAAATCCGGCAAGCCTTTGCACTACAAAGGATCATCCTTCCACCGCGTGATCCCTAATTTCATGTGCCAGGGCGGAGACTTCACAGCTGGGAACGGTACCGGTGGTGAATCGATCTATGGAGCTAAATTCGCTGATGAGAACTTCGTGAAGAAGCACACTGGTCCTGGAATCCTCTCCATGGCAAATGCTGGCCCTGGGACCAACGGATCTCAGTTCTTCATCTGCACCGCCAAGACCGAGTGGCTCGACGGCAAGCACGTGGTCTTCGGACAGGTTGTCGAGGGACTGGATGTTGTCAAGGCCATCGAGAAGGTTGGATCTGGTTCTGGAAGGACCTCCAAGCCTGTAGCGGTCGCTGACTGTGGTCAACTCTCTTAGATCTATCTCGTGAAGATCTCTTATATTAAAGATCTGATGATTATCTATGAATTATCCTAATTTCTCTTTTGTATTTTCGCTTTTATGACTTTATGTTGAGGTTATCGTTGGGTTGTGTTAATTGAAGGTTGTTCGGCGTGACTCTGAATTATTCTGTTTAATCTGAACTTCCTTCATAAATAAGATTGGTGCATCTTTTTATGCTCGATAAACTTGGATTTCACTGTTAATTGCTGTTTGCGATTTTTTTTTTCTTTTTATTTTCTCTTATTATTCTTCATATTGGAAGAAATTGGGTCTAAATTACGCTTGAAATTGGGATGATTAATACCTAGTGGCTGTTGAACTGCAGCTCATAGTGATTGTACAACGCAAAGTTTAATTTAGATATTTTATGCGATGACTGAAAGCGACTGCCCAGTTTTTTTTATGAAATTCATCAGTGGACGCGGTCAATTCTTTTACTATTTCAAATCTGAGAAAGATAGGTTCTGGAAGTGATTTATTTATTATAATTAATAATTCTTGTTCAAAGTAGACGCGATTTTTATCGGATAACAAAAATTGCAATTGCAAAATTAGTGGGGATTTTTGGCGTGTGGGTGCAGAGAATCGGATGGTGAATGGAGGGTTATTTTTGTCAAGAAAAAGTTAAGACAGTTTAATTTTAATGATTGAAGTAATGTTTTTTTGAAAAATGTGTGGTTGAAAAAGAATAAAAAATTTTTGATTTGTTTATAATATTATTTTATAAAAGATTGTGTGGTTGAAAAAAAAAAAAAAAACGTGGAGAATGGAGGCAAAACGGGGGCTGAATATGTAATAGCTAGAACTCTATTTGATTTGTCCCTATTTGTACTATCTAGAAATCGAGGAATAAATGAACTAATTTTTTATTTTGTAATTACGTACTCCGAATCAAGAGAGATGGAAAATAAGCCCCTGTTTGGCCCCCATTACGTGGAAATTTTAATGGGTGAAATAGTATTTTTTTGAAAAATGAGTGGTTGAAAAAGAAGGAAAAATTTTCGATTTACGTGTAATATTATTTTATGGAAGATTGTGTGATTGAAAATAGGAAAGAGAAAGATGAAATGTAATGTAATGAAAATTAATGAGGCTCAAACGGGGGCTAAATATCTAGCTTACTTCATTCTCTTATTATGAGCATTTTCAATGATAGTGTAAATTGATATCTCCAAAATTACTATCATACCCTCATTTATATTGCAATGGATTTAACCCTCCATTGACCCTATTTTTTGAAAATGAAAATTGATGGAATGGTGTTTTTTATTTTTAAAAAAATTAGTAGTTGAAAATAAAGGAAAAATTTTCGATTTACGTGTAATATTATTTTATGAAAGATTGTGTAATTAAAAATACGAGAGAGAAAAATTGAATGAAATTTAATGTGAGCCAAACAGGGGCTAAATTCAATTTTGGCCTACTGTAAATGTAAAAAATATATATATATAAATTTATATCCTTTTTACATTTTCTGTTGAAAAATGCAACTCACGTTTTCTTTGCACCTCTAAATTGGGGAGATTTTCGATTACTTTAAATATCTAAATTATAATTTAAATCTATTTTATACAACAACGATTAAAGATATTCTTATGATTAATCCTTTTCTTCTTGTCTTCTTTCTCTTTTATTTGTCCTTTTCCACCATTGTTATCGTCGTTCATCCCAATGTCACTCTCTCATGCTATTAGCTTCCAGATTGCGTAATTTGTCATTGACAACAATATGGTCACAAAGTGGAGCGTTGGATGCCGTGTGTGATTACGTGCTTGGATACGTAGCGCATTTTTCTGCCCAACGAAAATATCACGCATTGATTTAGCGATAGGGATTAGAGCTTGAGTGCAATTGGATCAGCTAATGGTCATCTGCCGGATCTTGAGAAGTCCCGTTTGCCCTCGTTAAATTAAATTTTATTTATTTTTTTCTACTTTCAATTGCACAATTTTTTATAAAATAATATTATATGTAAATCGAAAATTTTCCTTCTTTTCCAACCACTCATTCTTTAAAAAAAATATCATTCCACTAATTTTAATTTGAAAAAAATGGAAGCCAAATAGGAGCTTGATATTCGGGGTGGGAAAAATTCATATTTAAAAGATTAAATATGACATATTTCAAAATTAAAAAATAATGTTCAAAACATAAAAAGTTAGATGTTAATTAAATTTTAATTATGAAATTATTAAATAAAAAATTTTATAGGTCACAATTTATTCATAGGTCATGAATCAAAAAATTTATAAGTGACAATTTATTTATCAGTCACAAATCACAAATTTTATAAGTCACATCTTATTTTACAATCACAAATTATCAAATTATTGATAACAATTTATCTATTTCATTGGCAACATGTTCATCGATCCCACATTAGCCAAATTGATTACAATCAACCAAATAATTTGTGATCACCATCATCTCACCATTGCCTCCAGTGTCATTGTTGCCAACATCATCGCTACCAAAACCACCACCAGCATCTCACAACAACTAGCAACAAGAACGCCATCTCCATCTCAAACAAACCAACACCCATCACCAAAAACCACAACTACATCATCATTGCGACGGCATTGCCTGCACCACTTGGTTGATTCAATAGAGCCTCCACCAACCCACAATCTTTACAACTATCAACACCACCACAACACAACCACTACCACATTCACCATAGGTCCACAACAAATCGTCGACTACAGCATCAGACCACCATCTTTCCCTCAAACGTGAGTCAATTTCTTCACGTTGATACCTCCAAAACATACCGCCCAAATTTCCCTTCATTTGTAGCCTCCGATCAATCCCATATCAACAATGTGAAGTTAAGATTTGCCGTAAATAGATAGATCTGCATGCAGCAGGAGAGGAAGACGATGGTAACAATCCTAGAGTGGAAGATGACATTGCCACAGAGTAGCTCCTCTGCCATCTACACTTGCATTCCTCAACCATTGTGGGGATGGTGATAGACACAGCTAATAACGTTGGGGGGGGGGGAGAGAGAGAAAGAGTAGATGAGAATGAGTGGTAATTAATTTAATTAATAATAAATAAATAATTAATTATAACCGGGTTTATGAAATGTTAAATTTAAAATTTGATTAATGAATGGGAAGACCACATAAATCCTACATATAAAAATCAGATTTCTAAACTAACAAACTTCTTGGAATTTTACAAAAATCAGGCGATAAATGAAATTATTAAATATTTAAAAATAATATAATATAATTAATCTACCTATTCCACCACCACCCCCACCAAATTTTAAAATTTAAATTCAAACAAATCTCTTTATCTCTTTGCCCCATCCTACCTCCGGTGACCCCACCCCATCTTCGGCGACTTCTCCGACGACAACTCCGGTGACTGCTCCGGCGACCCCAACCCCATTCCGGCAACTTCTCCGGCGACCCCAACCTACCTCCCGCAACAATTCCAATGGTCTCCGGCAACTGACGTTGTATCCCTTTTTTTTTAGGCAATGGCATGTGACCAGTTCCATTAAATCTGTGACATGTGACCAGTTCTATTAGATCTGTGACCTAATCAGGTGAGATGAATTATATGTAACTATTTGTAATCGAATTTATTTTCAATGTGACTCTATGTGACCATCTAATTTGTGATTTTATGTAACCAATTCATCGACCCACATTATATGTGATTAACCGTGATCAACTCTGTCTTCGATATGACTAACTGTGACCAAAATTACATTCAGTGTGACTATCCGTGACAAGGTCAATCTCATGTCACAATCGGTCACAATCAACACAAAATTGGTCACAAATAATCACAACAAACACAAATTTGGTCACATGCAGTCACCACAAACAAATATGCACTCATCGCGACCCGTATCATAATTTGCTCTCGTTTTAAAGTAATAATCGAATTTGTGATTGTATGTAACCAATTCACTGACCCACGTTATCTGTGATTAACAGTGACCAACTCTAACTTCGGTGTTACTAACTGTGACCAAAATTACATTCAGTGTGACTATCTATGACAAGGTCAATCTCAAATTTCGTCACAAATAGTCACAACAGACACAAATTTGGTCACATGGGGTCACCACAAACAAATATGCACTCATCGCGACCAATATCATAATTTGCTCCTTTTTCAAAGCAATAATCGAGATAAAAATGATGTTTCCTAGCCCCAGAAGACAAGGATGGATGAAGGACAAGCCACTACATTTTTGCCAACCGTGAATTTGTGATAATTGCTAAAAAGAGGCAAAATCTCTCTTTCCTTCTCTTCTACCAGCAAACAGACAATCGAAGTAATGGAGCACTTTTAAATTGAGAAGATTCAATTATCTGGCACTACATTGGCCTTCCTCGTTCACTATGTCTCTGCTGCCATCGGCGACCTTACCACTACCATCTCCTCTATCTCCATTTAAACCACACCCAACCACCACCACCACCACCACCACCACCACCACCACCACCACCAAAAATTCCACAAACCCGTTGCCACCACCACCATCATCTCCTCTCTCCGTTTAAACCGCACCCAACCACCATTCCCACCAAAAAAACCCACAAACAAGCCATCACTACCACCACAGCACACTATCACAGCCTGCACAATAACCATCTCAAAAATCGCTACAAAACTTGTCGAAAAATTTACCAAAAAATCATACGATCTATAAAACCACACAAAAGTCCGTAACACTGCACAAAAAGTCCAAATCGCCGTCGTGATTCGAAACGTCGGAGAAGAGTTTAGTCCGTATCGCTGCGCCTCAACTCCACCGGCAATGTGACCATCCCAGCGCATCCACTTAGGCGAAGAGACATATTTGTGCATCCACTCCGATGTCGCGCTCAATTCTGGAGTTGTCCGTCAAAGAAGGATTGGTGTAGAGAGAGAGAAAGGGGGAAGTAGTGATTTTAGTAAGAGAATAAAAAATGTAGAGAGAGAGGTGAGAGTCAATGGAGAGAGAAGACAGAAATGTTGAGAGAGAGAGAGAGAGAGAGAGAGAGAGAGAGAGTGGGTAGAGAGAGAAGAAAAAAATTTCTTGGTGTGGGTGGGGTAATGGGGTTAGATGAGTTAAATACGTGTATTCAATTTTATAAATATATTTTTATTGATTTTAATTATTAAAATTTATTTAAGACCTGATTTGTGAAAATGAAACTTAATCTCTTGTTCTTTGAAAATTAATCTTTAAATTCAGATTTCTAGGTAATTTTCCCTTAATGAATTGTAAACTTTAAAAATAGGCTTTGATGTAATTTCCTCTATTCGAGTCCCAATTTTTTTGAGCTGAATTTTTGCCTTGATGGAACATATGATTATTCAGAAATGAGCTCCGATAAATGTATGAAGCAATTTTCCACACATTCTTTATAATAAGAAACTTACAAAACTATATTAAAAAAAGCATTTTCCATGGCGCACAGAGGGTTAGAACCTTTTAACACTATGTATATGGGTTGGCCAGTCATATACACGCTTGCACATAAATCATATTTCCATGACATAACGATGTTTGCACACAAATAAAGAAAAATATATATTTTTTTCCCAGTCTACAGAAAGGTAGACCCCAGCTTTTTTTTTTTAATACCATGTACAATATTATTCATGTAGATAAATCACACTCACACATGATGATATTTGCACATAATGAAGCGGTCTACAGAAAAGATAGACTCGAGCTCTGATACATTTCTGTAACGCCCTGAAATCTTTTTCATCTTCATTATTTTATTATTTTATAAAAATAGGCTTGAGGTGTTATCAAAATCTTCTCCATCTAATTTAAGCGGAAATATCACTTTTATTAAATGCTGAAATTTGAAAATGTGATCGATAATTCGATAACGATAAAATAACAAATTAAGTAAATTTTTCATATTGAATATAATTCTTGAAATACTTCATTCCAAACCTATTAAGTTAAGATTTAACATAAAATGACCAATGATGGATCTCTAAAATATTAAATAACATGCATTAATATAAAAATATTATTTAAATAAAAGTTGACAATTACGTTTTCAGAAAACTTTACTCGACGACCCCATAAACATTATTTGATCAATCTTCCACGCGTTCACACATCTCATTCTCCTTTGAAAAGTTATTGTAAGCATGAGTATTTTGAAAAAATTTTAGTAAGAATACGTACGCATTCTTATAATATGATATAAATATAAAACTAACATAACATACCAACATTTCTTATATTTATTGCTCAAGAAATTTTATAAGAATATCTATATCACGTAGGATTTAATATAACTGACCCAAAGGTCAATTCCGTAGGATTTAACATACTTAACTTAACGGTCTTTCCCGAAAGATTTAACATAGAATTCAACCCAAATGCCTCATAGTATTTCATTTCAAAATTTATATAAATATCAAGAAATAAGAACTTACCACTTTGCACGATGTGTTCTCAATTTTTACGAAGATATCTAAAAAATATAGCTAGTAAAAAAAAATATATGATACTTTGTTCAATCTCTAAAGTGTTGTGAAAATGTGTACAATATCAACTTCATGGTAAAAGAAAAATCATTCCATCTCAAATATACACACACATATATTTTCCACTACCATGCATGTAAATTACATAACTTAAAAGGTGCTCCCAGGGCACATCTCCAAGTAGTAAAAGGGGAGGGTGGAGAAATCCAACTTTGCTTGACGCTGCCGCGTCAAAGGTTCGAATCTTGAAATATGGATTTGATTTTTGGGTAAGTGCAAGTGTACAAGCAGCCTTCCACTCTATATCTTTGGAGGCATAACCTGCGATTTACCTCCCTCACGATACTCCAGGGTAGGGGCGGTGGGGGACCCTTAAGGTTGGGGTTTAACCTTTTTTTTTTTTTTTTTACATAACTTAAAAGGCATTTTTTTTATGTTAATGAGGGTTAATGAAATTAATTATCATTGGTTAATAAAATTTAAACCAATTTAAAGTGAAGGTTATTGTTTTGGTTTGAAGTTAACTTAATTACCTTTTCCAATTCCCTATAACCGTACATTTATTATTATTATTATTATTATTATTATTATTATTATTATTATTATAATATTAGTAAAATATTCGAGGATAATGCTTTTCTTTCTATTAGGATAGCTCGAGCATAATTAGCTCAAAATTACTTTTTCTTGAGCCTAATTTATATAATTTAACATGAGCTACATAATGAATATAATATCGATATGTTTCATCAACTTCTACAAATACTTAAAAATATTCGATCCAAATAGTTTACGATAAAATTATAAAAGTACACGTACGTAAGGTAAATTTTTTATTCAAATAAGTGGATTTAGCTTATCTTTTAACGTTTGAACTTAGTTTGATGACAAGACTGGACATGGATCATTCCATTTGCCAAATGACCAATATTAAGTTTAGGTCTCATAAGAAAAATTCGAGGTGTTACACATATTACTACTTTTTTCAGATAAAGTTGATAGAGAATATCACTTTTTCACATTCTCATTTTTATGAACACCTTGCATACGTCGCTTTAATTGACTCAAAGTTAAATTTTCAAATATATTAATTCAATCCATTTCCTCTCAAGATCAATGCTATTTTATTTTAATTTTTTACTATTTTTTCAATCACAGTATCAAAACCATCAAAAAAGAACGTTCATAAATGTCAATTATTTACGTCATATGGTTTAAAAACTAAACATAATCTTGAATTTGACAGAAAAGTGATAGGGACGATGCACTAAGATGATTAGGATATTCAAGTAGAAGTTTGCTCAGCTCAAAATTGCTCATTTCGACTGTTGCTTTTACAATCTATGCAAAGAGCATTAAACGATTTTAAAATGGCAAATTTGGGGAGCTAATTGAACAAAAAAATTCGAAACGAAACAGCTGTAAATTTTTTATGTTTATTTATAGATTTGGGGAAGAAAACAGTAAAAGAAAGGTAGTTGAAGTAGGCCTTAATCTTGTTTGTATGTGCAAGATTTCTTCTTCGTTTTTCCTTGATTTCTCGAGCTTGGAAAGGTTGAAAATTTTCTTGTTGCTGTTTAGTTTTGTAGCAGCGTTCAGGTTTGTAGCGTAAAAATTACATTGTATGTTAAGTTTGTCATATTTTTATTAAGATGACCACAGAAGTAAGAGTATTGTGTAAGTACCCCAAATTAGATTGTGTTTGGTTGAAGAAGCAAGCTTAGCCATTGCCAAAAGGGTTACCGTTATTGTTGATGGAAAATTGGAGTGGGCCGTTTCTCTTTAATAGGACCCAACTCATTTCTCAGCCCACATCCCCTTAGACTCATGATATTGGGCTGGAAGAGTTGGTTTTACCGTAAAAGGAAAGCCCAGGGACTAATTTGAAGCACATATAAAAATCGGAGACTGATTGATTTGATCAACACCGATAATCCTGGGACCAATTTGTATTCTTTAGAAACTTCAGGGCCAATTTACACATTAGTAATAAGTCAAGGACCCTTTACAGCAATTCAATACTTCAGGGGCTGTCAAAATGATGCACTGGCCCAACTCGACCCAATTATCTTGCAATATTGACACGTTTGAAGGTCGATCAATCTAAAATTTTGAAATAAATTTGAAATATTCTAAATAGATCAGTTGGTTTAGGCTCAATATGGTCTCGAAAAATGACCTACATGCACATGAGTCGTTTGAGTCAACCAACCCATTTTGACACTCTACATCTGAGCAAATAAAATAAAATAAAATAATTGAGGTTTAGAATGCTTTATTGTGAGAGTTGTAGACTACGATGCAAAAAGGACCTCTGTTGTTGTTTTATAAATAAATGTTGAAGAGGAAATTGCACCTCCTGTCGCTTTTTGGATTGGCATTTTTAAAAATGCCACATTAAACTTTTGAACATTTTTACTCGCCTAGAAAATTTAAATACCTTGCATGTCCTCAATTAAAATTCATTTGATTTGATGAAAAAGTAGTACAAAAAGTGAAAAAATATATCACAAAAGCCACCCACCCCCACTTTTTAAACCCATTTTCCAATTTTGTATGTATCCCGATTTTGCAAACACACTTTCTAAACCAATTTCATATTGCATATCCACTTTCTAAATCCATTTCACACAAAACGGTGAAGGAGAATTTGAAGAGTTTTCACCCCCACAATAATCACTTCCACATCTCACGATTGATACCTACACCTAGTTGGAGTACATATCAAGTTCAATATTCGTCAGTTCATATTTGGCTCCAACTTTAAATCGAGGTAAATATCATTTTCATTTTTTTAGATTTAAATGTTTTGAATAATTTGTGCTTTATTTGTGTTATGGTTGGTTCCTGTTTGAAGTTGAGGGGAAAAATTCATATGCATGGTTTCGATTTAATAAGTGACCATATTCTTGTTCCTAGAAGAATTGATATTTTCAAGCATTTTCCATTTAATGTTGGGTAGAATTTTCTAGTTTCTTTGATTTTTACTTTTTTGGTTTAAGAAAAATATAGATTTGTTCCTTTATTTTTGCACTTTTTATGTGATGTTCCTATTTTTTGAACTATATTTGTTCATTTAGATTTGCAACTAGGATTACTTAATTTTTAATGGCATATATACTTTACTAATGAAAAAGTGAAAATAGGTGAAAATTGTAGTGCACTCTTGTTCAGTGAATTACATTTATGCTACACTTGGAAACAATGATGTATGAAATTTAAATACACTCTTGTTTAGTGTTAGTTATATGATTTTGAAAATTTTACTTGATTTTGAAGCTTTATAGAGATTTTTTTTTCCAAATATGTTATTGTTTTGGGGGGTTATTGTTAAACTAAATTCTTGTTGTATTGTTTTATGAATATGATTTTGAATTTGCATGAAGTTAGTTTCATTTTTTAATTTCTAAATCAACTTAATTACATTTATTTGTAAATTTGTTTATTTCTAAACATTTTGATATTTTTTTTCTTAAGGCATTGATTCAATTTCGGATGAATAAGGAGTTATGTTTGTTATGTGATCATGTTTTCTCAAAGACTTGATTATTCGATTTGTAAGTACAATAATTTAAATACATATGTTGAGATCTTTTTTATCTTTTACTAACAGCGAGTTGTTGAATTGATTTATGGTCGGTTCATGTATTGTTCGGATGAAATTTTTTAGTTTAGTTTAAATGTGGGCTGAGTTTTTGAGTTGATATGTTTTTAAATTTGATCTAAATTCAATTTGAGGATTCAAATATTCGATTCATGTTAGTATATGGAGAATTCATATGTAATTCTTATCAAATCCATATGTCGAGATAAATTATCATTCTCGACAGTTATGATCTGAAATTCTGACAGTTGGTTATTGTTTCTTGATAGTTATGATATGATGTCAAACACAAATCATCTACTCTTATATGTGTGTTATGAAGTAAATGTATTATATATTATCATTTGACCATTGATATTTGTTCATGTTACTGATTTTTGAATAGATTGACAAACTATAATGTTATTGGAGGAGTGCCTGAACGGCACGTCAGCGCCATCTTTTAGTAAAGGAGCTGTCTTCCAATGCTACTAATCTAATTGAAAATGAAGAAGTGGTGATGAAGAAGCAACACTTGACGCAAATTCAAATATCATCTGCTTTGAATTGAACTTCATACACTAGGAGTGGTAAAAAAGAGAGGAAAAACATGAAATAATTGAAACTTGTTGACCGGAAAGTATTGTCATCCATTTTTGAAGGGTTGAGAATAGTGGAATTTTGTAGGTTATGAAGCTCATGTATCTAATCTTTATATTTTGATGATGAAAAATAATATATAACTTATTTTCATATATGCGTATTTTTTAGTTTGTGAAAATATAGTTGTTTAGCTAGTTGTTTAGCTTGATTGTGTAACTGTTATTAGTTGTGTATTATAATCATTGTCGAGTTTAAGTATATTTGGCCAAGTACAAATATTTATATGGACTTCCCAATAATTTTTCAATTTAATCGATAGTCCTTTATGATGCAATGACCATCATTCTCTTGAAATGATGAGAGGTTGTATGATATGGAAATCTAATGAATAAATTTGAATGATGTTAGTGATTCATATACATTAATTGATTTTATGGTTACCGTATCTACTCATTGCTATATACTCGTTGTATTATCTAGTTTATACCGAATAGTTGAGATTGTAATGGTAAGAATTGTGCACAATCAATATGACAACAATTAATATCATGAAAGTGGCACATTCAAATAGTAAATTCATGTAATAGCAAAATGTCAAATCGATAGTTGAAAATGTCTATCCTGAGAGTTTCGAAATGTCTAACCCAAAGGTTTCTTAATGTCAATTCCGACAGTTGAACTATCAAAACTGATGGGAAGCATATATGTGGATGATTGGAACAAATATTTCATCACATTAAGTATATCATCAATATCGTAAAATCATCTTCCCGAATAATTTGTACAATAAATCATTAAAGAAGCAATCCTGTAAAATGTTTATTGGGTTTGATCGGAAGAAATTACACAAAATATTAATGATGATAATCAATTCTCAACTATAATAAGAAAACATCTTTTCAATAAATAATTCAATACTTCATTAAATATGAAATCATTTACAACATTTTTGTAGATGATTTTTGTATGTTTATATCAAAAGACTTGAAAAATAAAACAAATTAATGAATAATGATTTCGAAATTTTCAAGGGACATTGTTTTATTTAACATTTCAAAAGTAGTAAGTTATAAGATAAAAATATATCAATTTGCAACATATTGATATCTCAAAATGGATGATGAATTCAACAATAATGTATTATTGATGAAGTATTATTGATGAAGGAATGAAGAAGATGGTTAGAAAGTTAAGTTTTTGTTAATGGTAGAAAAAAATTATTTATGCCCACTTTTCGAAATCATTTTCCTTTTTTTTTAATTAACAAAATTCTTATTACTCAATACAATATACGTATATCCAATTTTTGTAATATGAAAATTAAGGGGGGGTGTTTGTTTCCCATTTTTGTAAAAATGAGAATGAAACATATAGTCGTTATAGACTCCACACAAGAAATAGAAATTCAAATTTGATGACTTGATGTGATGGATAACGATTATATTTTTCGTTTTAATAGGAAAAATGGGAAACAAATGGGGGCTAAATCATCACTTCATAGCGTTAACGACATTCAAGTCAAAGCATTAATGAGCATTAAATACTTCTGAAAACAGCATAACTAAGGGTAAATTGAACTTTTACCGTAAAAAGTGATATTTTTGAAGATCATTAATAAAAGTTACAAATTTTAGGGCTTGTTTCCATGGAAATTCCATATTTCACATTTTGGTAGTGTTTGATAGCAAATATTTTCCATGCAAATTGATTTCCATCTTTCCTCCACAAATGTGCCAATTCCATGACTTTGTGGATTTCCAGCCATTTTTTTAATTTTTTTTTTTTGACAATTGGACCAAATTCTATCCCCCAATTATAACAAATTTTGTCTCTTCAATTAAGAATTTTCATAAAAAATAAAGCCAAATGAAGATCAAAAGATAAAAAATTTCAACATATTTTAGGTGAAAAATTATATCAATCAAACACATTAAGAAGAGTAGTATTCTCAATTGAGATTGCAATGAATTTTTTAAATTATTCTAAATTTAAGTGTCCTCAATTGAAATTTTAATAAAATCCATTAAAAATTAGGCGTTCCAATTGAGATTGTAATAAAATTCAATTAAATCATTTAAAATTTAGGTATCCTCAATAACTAGTGAATTTATAATAAAATTTATTAATATGGAGATTTTAAAAGATTTGGATGAATTTCAAACTTGAATATACAAATAACCAAAATTTTTAAAATTCACCATATTTGATGAGATTTTTATGAAATTTGAGAAATCTATTCAAATCTATAAAATTTGTTGGGATTTATAATATTTTAAAATTTATCAAAATCTTAGTTGATAGCACTGTTATAAATTAACAATTTCCAAAAAAATAAATTTTTGATAATTTAAATTTCGAAAATTCATTTTCTTTCCATTCAAATTTAATCATTTTAATCAAACTTACCTTAGTGACATTCCCGTCAATGAACAGAATCCGCATTTGGCATTAAGCTAGAAAACATCCTGTACTAATACATTTGACGGTCAATTTTCAATCACAGCACCACATAAATCAACACGACGTCAACATCGCGAAACAATCGTATACCGGTGAATTTTTCCCGATTCGACACACTAAAATTCCCGATTTCGGCGTCCAAGTCGAAACCGTACGGTTCAAAGGTTTTTGTTACACAACGACTCGACACGAAACTTCTTGTCCGAGCACCAGTTTGAAGCTTTGTTCTTGAAACTCGCATCGTGATTTAGGTTGAATTAGCGGAAATTGAACTTCTTTTGATCTCGTTGGATTTTGTTGTAATGCTATACAGTATTATAGTTCATATACACTGGTGTATGTAGTGTCTACTGTAGAGAAGAAAGATAAACGGGGAGATATGGGGGCGTCGGATAATACGAGAGGTCTAATACTGGCAATTGTGTCTAGTTTGTTTATTGGAGCGAGCTTTATATTGAAAAAGAAAGGACTCAGGCGTGCTGCTGCTGCGGGTACTCGGGCAGGTGGGGAATGTTCAATCTATGGTACTTTTTTTTTGTCGTTGCTTTCTAGTGTTTTGAGTAGTTAGGTATATCTCTGCTATATTGAGTCGGTATTTGTAAATTGATTTCGAGGGGAACGACTGGTTGTCTCACGGGCTAACATTGGGAATATATTAGACTCTAATCTATTTTTAGTTTTTAAACAATTTCAAATTGTCTTTCATGTCTTTAGGAATTATCGTCCCAAACTATCTAACAAATAATGATTAACCCAAGCATTTTGATTTGGAATGTTGATGCTATAGTACTATCAGTTGAGTTGGTATGGTGAGAAAATGGAATAATTCATTGACGATTTTAGTATATATTGGGACAAAATTACTGCTATCAAGGTCAAGCTATGAAGATGAGTGTGGCTGAGAATTTTAATTTCTAGACTTCATGCTGTGATTTTATAATTTAGGCTTTAAGGACGCTATTGAGCTTTAAATGAGCAAGTGCAGTGATAGACTATGCCTGTCAATTATGAGACGTGACTCACCAATGCAAGTAATCTCATTTTCGTGCAATTGATGAATGCTTAAATATGAGCTTTGGCTGGCGAAGTGTTATTGTATTTCAAAGCTATGTTTCAATGGAGTGTTCGCGCTGGTGTCTTTGTCAGTGATGGAAATGGCATAGACGTGTAATGGAAACTACAGTCACACTGCATATGGAGGGGTTTATTCTCTTCTAGAAATCTTTATACAAAGGCAGTTAAGCTCAAAAGTTCATTTGGGACTGAAGTTGTCACTTCTAAGAACAGAACAAAACCCCACTCAAGGATGAACAGGCCACTGTAATTTGGGAGTGCATGCATGATATTTGGAATTATTTAGCAAGCCCCACAACAAATTATCCTTGATCCATTAACCTTTATACACAACCTCCATTTCTTATGTTAAAAGAAAGGTAGAAAGATAATGTACTTGTGTATCTCAATAAATCTGAAATGGCTTTCTATATTCCTCAGATTTATTTGATTCATATCGTCCATATATATACACACGCGTGCACTTTCAGCCAGTTTAATTCCTTTTGAGTATTTTATGCTGTTAATGCCGCAGGTTTTGGAGGCTACACTTATCTACTAGAACCTCTTTGGTGGACTGGCATGATTACAAGTAAGTTGTGGATATGTAAATAATGTTTATTCCTTTCTGATTACCAGTGCATGAATTCGTTCCGACGTTATATCAACAACTGGCTAATTGCCTTTGCATGCAGTGATTGTTGGAGAAGTAGCAAATTTTGTAGCTTATATTTATGCTCCAGCTGTTCTTGTAACCCCTCTTGGTGCATTGAGTATAATTGTTAGGTATGTTCTTCGACTTCAATTGAGCGTGATAACTACGCTTCGATAACATACATAACTAACCTTTTTCATGAATCTGATAGTGCTATTCTGGCACACTTTATGTTGAAAGAGAAGCTGCGACAGATGGGTATACTGGGATGTGTATCTTGCATTGTGGGATCTGTAGTAATTGTAATTCATGCTCCTCAGGAACAAATGCCAACTTCAGTACAAGAAATCTGGATTTTGGCTACTCAACCAGGTTGCCTCCTCTTTCTTATGTAGTTTATTTTCTTTTCAAATCTTGTGACCTTGAATGATATTTTTATTGGACCACAGCTCATTTCTTCTCATTGCTTCTGTCTACAGCATTTCTGATTTATGTAGCGGCTACAGTATCAATAGTTCTAGCTCTGATTCTACATTTTGAGCCTCACTATGGGCAGACAAACATACTGGTTTACTTAGGAATTTGTTCCCTAGTGGGTGCTCTAACGGTAATTGCATTTCTTATGCCCTATTATGAGATTTTAAGGTGACATGCATATCTACCGTATTTTATGGAGAACTTCTGTCTCATACTTGCTTTGTATTTTGAATGTTACCATGTAGGTAGTCAGTATAAAGGCTATTGGTATTGCAATAAAGCTTACTTTGGAGGGGATCAATCAAATTGGATATCCCCAGACTTGGTTTTTCTTTTCAGTTGCAGTAATCTGTGTGATCGCACAGTTAAATTATCTCAACAAGGTAGTCATATTTTTATTAAGAATCATGGTAACTTTTGGTGTTTCTCTGATGGGTTGTGCTCTGAGTACTTTGCATTACATCTTTGGATATTTTGTTAAATGATCCTAGAAAAACAAATAAACAAACATGGAAATCGGAAGTTTCATTCAGAAAAAAGTTTTTTTTGTTTTTCGTTTTTATAACATTAAAACTTTCAGGATTTTTTACTGAAGATAAAGAACCAATCTAGTGGTTCCATACACAGGATATTGTGTCTGTGAAGCTGCGTGTTGTGCCACGTTGGTTTTGGGAGTTGCAGGTACAAGGAAAAGTTTTGGGTTTTAGTTGGCTTTAGTAGGAAGAAAAGCACAAGTAGTTACTTCATAAGCCTACAACTCAGGTGAAACTTGTGGACGAGCTGAATGACAGTGTTTCCGGTGAACTAAGCCATGGCCTTATTGGCCATTTACAATCTAGTGTTTAAAGAGAATTATTTCAATACAAAGTTGTACGATTTACGTATTAGTTAAAATATACTGTTCTGCCAAATTTTATTTTTAATTATCCACACCATATAAACGGTCCACTTCTTGTCATTGTAATTAACATTTCCAAAATAACTACTTTCCTGCTTATCAATCAAAATTCATCATACATTGGCTGCAACTTTGTGCAGGTTTAGGGAAAAAAACACTTTGTGCAGGTTGGATTTTTTTTTTTTTTTTTTTTTTGGATCTTAAAGGAGATCTTCAATAATTTCGCACGTGAGGGGTGATTTCTTTGTTTCGTCCGGAACAAATTACTATTTCTTCAAGTTGTAAAACTACTTTTTAATCCTAACATCATCTAGGTAGTTTATGTTACGCCCACGAGCTCATGACACTACCGATGCCTTAATTTTGACGATCACCATAAGGCTATAAGTTACGTGAAAGGCTTAAGCTATTGTTACTTATGGGTCCTTTAGCACTCAAATTCAATGTGTGCAGGTGATGATCTCACTTTAGGTTCCTTAGGCTTATATTATGCCATTGTTTGTTGTTCCATATTTTTCCCACTGCTATTAGCATGCTACTGTGTGGAGAAAAGGGTACACTCATTTAGCATTTATATCTATTCCTCCTGTCATGTGAGGTTAACATTTTTTTCTTAATCTCTTGCAAAATTCATCCAATGACCATTACGTCCCATTTGTATTGCAGTAATCTAGATTAAAAGTGCGAATTTAACTTGGGTCACAATAACTACTTTTTGGTACTTAATTGAGTAGGAATAGTCTTTTGGCATTTATTTACTGCAAGTCTCAAGATGATGGACATCTCAATAGGCAGAGGGAGATCATTTGACTATGCCCAGTTATATTAATTTTTTTGTTAGGTGCTTGGGAGATTTTAAAACAAAGAATATATAAATCAAACTTATCAAATTAGGTATCATTCTTGTTCTATTGACACTAACCATTAGTTTTTTACATTGTCCTGAATCATTTGTTAATTTCTTTCGACTTTACCAATCTGTATGTCATTTGTTTAGGCACTAGACACTTTCAGTGCGGCAATTGTTTCTCCAATATATTATGTGATGTTCACAACTCTGACTATCATTGCAAGTGCTATAATGTTCAAGGTAACTGCCATTTACTCGAAGTTGTATCTCATCCGCATCCCTTTTAACTACAGCTAACAGAAGATGGCTAACTATCAATGTCGCCACATACTTGTTCTGCAGGATTGGTCAGGTCAGAATGTGAGCAGTATATTGTCTGAGATATGTGGATTTGTCACTGTGCTTTCAGGAACAGTCATACTTCATATGACAAGAGAAGAGGAACAAGCAACGTCACAAGGTATAGTTAAAAGTGAATAATTGTGTAGTTGTTCATTTTAGGGAGTACTAGGCTTCTGATCTGAGTGTCATATAATCATGGAAATGAAACTTCGCTCTTGCAACTATCATATCAGCTGCATAGTCCTAAGGATTAGAACATCGGCTATGAAAAATGATGGGACTAGTATGAGTAATGCTAGTAATAGTCTGCAATGGTCATCTTAGGTGACAACTTGTTATTTGAGGTATAAATTTACTGTAATTCTATTGCTTTAAATAACAAGTTAATACTGTAGTCACTGACTATTTAGGAATAGGTGGAATATTATATTAGAGAGGATGTTTGTGTTTGGCGATCATTCTTAGAATTGTTCATGCTAACATATCCTTATTTTGAGAACCAAGTATACTGTTTGAGATGTTTGTCATGCAAATATTTACCAAGGAAAGCTTTGAATAAACAAGTAACGCAGGCTAAAATTTATTAGCCGTCGAGAACTCATTTTTTGTAATTTGATTGCTCTTATTCTAATTCAAAATGTAGCCTAACACGAGCATTATACTTGCCTTTTAACTCTTCACACTGATTTTAGTGTGAGCTAATGGTATCCACTGTCTATTTTACGTAGGAACCATAACTTGGTATGATGGAGATCAAACAAAAAGCTTGGAGGATGAACATTTTACCAGGTTGCATAATTCTGATTACTTTGACCAACTAAATTTTCCCCTTGAGACGAATGTGAGAACATAATCCCGGACCCGTATTGGCATCCAAAGTACAATCATTGATTTGCAAAGCACAGTTTCTTATTCTTATTAGAAAATCTCATGGGCGCCTAAATTAGATGTGCGATCTCTCTGCAAGTTTTCTTTTGATGGCTTAGAGAAATACTGCATGACCTCTCACTTTTTTTTTTTAAGTTGGTATGGTCGTAATCTTAGAAGCCAGCCGTTTTAAGCTTCACAGGAGTCGCCTAGATTTGGTCTCGTCAAGGATTTTCTCATTGGTATATGTACATATTTGTATCCTTCGGTTTTGAGGGTTATATGATCATTGATTTGTTTCGTTAATCATTGTTTGAGGTTGTAGCAATAGCGTTAATGCAGAAGCAGCGTGTATTTCTTGTTAGTAGATGCTTGCCTGTTTTTTGGGGGCATTCGGGTGATTTGTTTATATGTCGTTGTAACATTCCAGTTTCGCGTGAGGCCATTTTGTTTGTATTGATATTTTTATGCATATATATCTTCTTTCCTTTTCTCTTCCAAAAAATCCGAAGTTTTCCTTTTGGAATTTTGTTCAGTCAATTTTCTTCTACTTTTGCTAGATTCAAGGTCCATTAAGATTAGTCACTTTTACTATTAAAAGGTGAAGTGGGAGAGAAGGGGCTCTTTCAGTGGCCACGTGAAGTGGAGAGAGAAAGCTACTGTGGCTTTTGTAATTATTGTATTATATTGAAATGAAAAAGCACTAAACATGCCACATCAGTTTTTTTAAAATTTTGGATTTCACTCTGTTTCTAACCTATCACAGTGGCAGAGTTATGCTACACGACCCGCGCAGGTGATCGCACACACACATACACATGGGGTCGGCATTTTTTTATTCAGGTGGGACCGTGCGCCATGTGAGAGTGCGGTCATCGGTGCGGTGAAAGGCGTGGGTCGTTTAGCAAAATTCCACAGTGGCATTATTGAGTCAGGATATCATGTGTCAGTTTTAGGTATGGTGGTGTTGAACCTTATTTTTTTGGGTCGTTTGATCTTGCGTTTCGAAAAAAATTTAAATGATTACTTTGAATTTATAAACATCTATTAGTGAATATATGATTTTTTATTGAGGAATATCTAAATAATATTGTTAATGAAACGTTAAATTGATTAACACTAGTCTGCGGTTCGTGCGTTGCACAAGTTTTGTATTTATTATGTTATTATTAGTATAGAATGTGTAGAATTTAGAAAAAGTATTTACGAAGTTTAATGGATTTTTTTGAACCCCCTTTTGGATTTTTATTTTGGGTCTATTTTCGGTGACTTTCTGTTACTAGATTGCAGGAATTCGTTGATCTGATCAAGAGATTTGTTACCTTATGTAATTGTCATTAATATCTGTAGATAGACCAAGAAATCTTTAAACAAAGAAAGTGCTCCAAGCATATATATCCACTGTTTGGTAATCTAGTCGATTACAAAATTACTGCAAGTCACTTGAACTACAGCTTTCCACATTATCTAGTTAAAACAAAGGAAAATTCTACTTGTACATAATTATTGCACATAATGGTGTCCATAATGTGATGTAGCAATCATCCGATTGTTAATGTGCAAGTGTTAAATTTAAATTAAAGGTTGGATTCAATACCACGTGTAATTATGGACACCATTATGTAAACTATTATGTACATGTAGCACTTAGAGTTGTATTGCCTGTTTCCAACTGGAATGTTCACATACATAACTTAGCAACAATATTATTTCTATAGCTTGGCCATCAGAACTAATTTGTAAGCATCAAAGAAGCAGGTATCATAAATATCTTTAATGCAAGAAGAAAAAAAGGAAAGGAACGGGATTATCATCGAGTGTTTTGAGTAACATTAGGATGCAAGACCCAATGCAAACCAAAAATTTTTGCTCATGAAAACAAATATGTAGAATTGGATACTCAAAGCTGGAAATCGTAGAAAATTTTAGAGCAAATCGGCAAAGCAAGAAAACCTCATCAAAATCAACAGATATATGAGAGAAATCAGCAATGAACCACACCTGAAGAAGAAAAAACCCAGCCAGTTAGGTTTAAAAAATACCACAGTTGAAGCATAAATGATGCAACAGGTGAAGAGGGACAATCTTCAGAAACCAAGTTAATCATAATTTTATTACCAAAAGACATATGAATAAAACCAAAATATATTTGGATCGATAAACAGGCACAAAGGTAAGAAATTCAAAAGCACTGAACAAGCTTTAATTATGCAATTACCATAGCTGAAAGGCACTGCAAGCTTGATGCCTTCAAGCTGCGCTTTTGGTTTTCATTACCAGTCATACGAGCCAACATGCACACACTGTGAACCAAATTTTCAATATTGCGCGTGTATGTTCCATCTAGCTATAGATAGATCAAATCACAAATAAGACAACATAGCAGAGGGAATGCAATGATTATATAAATAGGAACTAACATTGTTAATTCTTGTAATTATAACAAAAATTAGATGGATTCATTACATTCTTTCCAAATACTGATAAAGATAGGAAAAGGGTGGAAAGGGGAAATTTTTTTTACCATGTACCGTGCACGAAGTGTTGTTCACTCTGTGCACGGAGAGATTCCTCTCCATCCAAGTGTGTGGAGAGGATTCCTCTCCATCTATGTGTGTGTGGATGGAGAGTTTGTTTTGTTTACATTATAAATAATTTTTTTTTGATTTAAAATTCTTTTTAATTCTTTTCGTGTTACAAATTTTTTTTTCAATTTTACTTAAATAACATTTATTTTTAATTTTAATTTAAAAACTTTATAATCACTCTTTTTTTGTTTCTTTTTATTTTTGGCTCTAATTTTGTTGTTGTTTAATTTGTTAAAGCATTCAATTTGTTTTGTTTATCAGTTGGATTGAATGAGATGAAGTAGGGTGTGAAAATGGAGAAATATTATAGTGGAGGTGATGGTTGCAGTAAAATGACGTGTGAAAATAGAGAAATGATTGAAGACAAACGGCGTCGTTTTTGTTCCCACAATTAAAAAAAAAATTGCTACAATGAGATAAAATGGAAAATTTACTGTTGATTTTCACAGTAATTTACTAATTTCACATTCTCCTTTTTATATAGTAGGGACATGCTAGTTTGGTATGTGACCTCTAATTGTTGAATATCAAAATTGATTTATCTATGTTTTTCTAGTTTTAGAAAAAAATTGAATGCTGAATGTAATTGTACCAAAATAACGAATTATTAAAATAAAGAAATTATAATTTGATTAGTTGTTGCATATGTTAAAATAAATAATTGGCTTGTATATGCAATATACGGTATACCAAAAAAATCACTTAAAAGAAGTGAAATGAATAAGGTAAAAGTCATTTGTACATCATGGAGTACAGCCTCCACACATGTTGAAGGGACTTGCATGAATTAAATATTTGTGGGCCCCTCATTGTGAAGGGATGTAAAAGTGTACACCAAGCAAAGTTGAATAAGTAATTCGTTATTTATGTAGTAAACGAATACTTTCCTTAGTTCTTGCAAAAATCACCCAACACACATCACATCTCAACTATTTCAATACTCCCATATCAGATCAATATCGGATATCCATTGTTGGATCAAATCCGAAAGTGTGCGTGTGTTATGGTATATATTCGAATTCGAAGGATAAAGATTTTTGGACATACTTTTTTACGCATAAGGGTAGGGGTGAGCACGATTCGATTTGAATGATTTGAGACAAATTTTCAAACCAAATCATTTAAAGAGTTTGAAATTTTTTCAAACCAAATCAAACCACGTTGATTTCTAAACTAAACCAATCCAAATCATTTTTTTTTTGTGTCATTCAATTTAAAACCACGGTTTAACAAATAAAAAATTAATATATATCAAATAAGTTAAATAATAAATATTAGTCTAAGATTCCTGGTTAAAACATAAATTGCATCATTAAAAAAAAATTCATATCAAAGTTATATAATTATAGTCATTATAATGCAATGACATGATATAAATATTTTGAACTCTTATTCAATACTAATGACGTCCATCTGTAATAGTAATACATTATTTATTTTCCTCGTAAATATAAAAATATAGTACATGAATTTATTGATTATAGTTAAATGATATAAAATAATTAATAAAAGAAAATGATCAAATACATTAGTACCTAGCCACTATGACTTCCTATGAGTCATTCAAAGCTTCTACTATATCCCAATATTGACGAATTACTTTAAGGGAGCCTCATAATTATTAGAACAAAACAACATAACTATCAATAAAAATATAGAAAACGATTACCAAAAAATAAAAGAATTTTGACAATCTGACTTGAATTTAAGCAAAAGTTGAAAAAATTATAGAAGGAAATAAAATATGCAAGTTTGAATTAAAATATAAATTTTATTGTTTACTCAATTATAATGGAGGATCGATAGATATGGTTTAGCAGCAGTTGTTCAACACTTTATCCAATTTGAGGATTTAACATTCACGAAATTATAACTGATGAGTATTTGGATATGATTGATGAATTGAGTTTAATTGAATTATATCTAATATGTATATATCTTTTTAACTGAAATATGTTAAGATTTAATTGTGTTAAATAAAATTTAAACTAATTTATTTAAAAAATTTTCTTTTGATAAACGATTTGTAAAGATTGAAACCTAAATCAAACCTCTTTGAAGCGATTTGGTTTAGTTTGACTCAAAATCAAAATATTGACGAATCCAAGTGAAATCAAATTAAGGTTTCAGCTTTCAGGAAAATATTTCGATTTGATTTGACGATTTCATTACTCAATCCTATACAAGGTATTCACCCTCTCACATAACGATTACTTCTGAAAGGGTCAATAAAAATTAGGGAGTAGGGACCCTTATCATTTCCCATATTGGAACCCTTCGCCTCTTTAACGAACGCAAATATTCACAAAACCCACCTTCACTAACTCGAGTTCTGGAGAGAGATAAAGTAACAATGGCGGCAACAGTGAGCGCATGGGCTAAACCCGGCGGATGGGCTTTGGAAGCGGAGGAAAATGAGTCGGAGCTCCTACAAGAACACAAACAAGACTATGTGAATGAAAATGCAAGCGGCGGAGGTGATAAGGCGGATTTTCCATCCTTGGCGTCGTCGGCGGCGGCCACCAAGACCAAGAAGAAGAAGCTTCAAACTCTGTCCCTTCAGGAATTCTCGACTTACAAGCCATCTCAGACGACCGCCAACAAGGGACTAACCCCTGATGAACTGTTGGCCCTTCCCACCGGCCCTCGCGAGCGCACCGGTGAGGAGCTTGATCGTAATAAGCTAGGCGGTGGCTTCAAATCCTACGGCTCCTACAACGAACGGCCGTCGAGGGATGAGCAGCCACGTCGCCAGGGAAGCTTTAATAGGGACTCGAACGGGGAGTCTGGGCCTTCACGCGCTGACGAGACTGATAATTGGGCGGCGGGGAAGAAATTAACGGCTGGTAATGGATTTGAGAGAAGGGAGAGAGGAGGGTTTTTCTCGGATTCGCTGTCCCGGGCGGATGAATCTGATAATTGGGGTTCCAATAAGTCTTTTATGCCACCTGAACCTCAGAGATACGAAAGGAGAGGGGGTTTTGGATTGGAGTCCCATAACGGTGGCGCAGATGCAGATAGTTGGGTAAAGAAAAAGGAAGAGGAGGGACGCAAAATTGGTGGAGCATTTGATAATTTAAGGGAGAGACGAGGGGGAATTGAAACTAATGGTGCAGATTCTGAGGCATGGGGGAGGAAAAGAGAGGAGGGGAGCAGTGGGATTGGTGGCAGGCCGAGGTTAAATTTGCAACCAAGAACAATGCCCGTGGGTGAGGGGCAGAAAGGTGAGAATGGGGTGAAGTCAAAGGGTAATAACCCATTCGGAGAGGCAAGGCCAAGGGAAGATGTTTTGAAAGAGAAGGGACAAGATTGGAAGGAAATTGAGGAGAAGGTTGAGACTACGAAGATTAAAGAGGTTGGAACTGGATCCCCTGATAGCCAGGCAGCTGGGAAGAGAAGTTTTTGGAATGGTAATGGGCGGGAGAGGTTGCAGAAGGAGGAGAGTACTTGGAGGAAGATGGAGTCTGTTGATTCTCATCCACAGAGGTTGGTAAATTAGGTTCTGAAATTACATGAATTGTGAAAAAACTGTCGTTTGGTTAAGCATTGAATTATTTGAAATGTTAATAGCTTGATTGAATTGGTTTCTTGGTTTACTTCTGTGATTGTGGAAATTACTTGTCCAGTTTTCCTTGATGAAATGCATGAACATGTTTATGTGCTTGTTTTCTGCATATGGCAAATGTCTCAAAATTTACTATTGTAGTATAGCCCTAAGTGAATCAATTTGTTTTGGTTATCCAAATCATTAGTTGGAAAATAAGGCCATAAAAAGACAGTAAATTATGCCCCCGTTTGGCCCCATTAATTTTGATTATAATGGGGAAATAGTGATCCTTTTTTTTTTTTTTTGGAAAAATTGATGGTTGTAAAAGAAAGAAAAATTTTCGATTTACGTGTAATATTATTTTATTAAAAATTGTGTGGTTGTAAATAGGAGAGACAAAAATTTAATTTAATTTGATGAGATGTAATAGGGGCCAAATAGGTGCTATGTTTCAGTGGTTATCTTCGTACTGGGGCGGACCCAAGGGGGGTCTTGCAGGGTCAAGTGACCCCCCAAATTCTGAGATTACCTTTTTTTTTCTTTGATAAGTCTTGTTTGGTATCTATTGAAATTTAAATTTTAATCTAAATAAAGTTAATAATTAATTTTAATAAT